AAAAAAAAAAAAAAAAAAAAAGACCAAAATAAAAAAGGTATGAGAAAAAAATAAAATAAAATAAATGAAAATGCGACCAACACCTTCCATGTGCTAAAAAAAAAAAAAGATACGAGATACCATGTACATGCTCTCCTACTCCTCAACATATATATCACTGGCTCCACTCCCCTTGGTTTTACATTTCACATTCAAAGTACCTAAAATCCCTGATTTCTGTACATTACCTATTCATATCTGTTTCCTCCTCTGAGTAAGCCGTTCCACCCTGGAAATCAACCTCCATTGCTTTCTTTTCTGCATCTCCACATCCTATGGATCTCTAAGCCCCACCAAATATACTTCAAACCATCCACATCTCTCCATCCCTCCTGACATCACCCTTCCCCAAGCCACCTAGCCCATGATAAATGTATCCTGTTAAATCTCCCTGATTTCACTCTTGCCTATCCTAACTCCATTCACTCCTCCATTTTTTTTTTTTAATTAATGATTGTGTCACTGCAGGAACACTCTTTTATTTTTTTTTCTTGGTTTGTTTTTTATTTTAGATTTGCCTTCTATAGGAAACCAAATATTCTCATTGCCTGTTTCTCTTTTTTTTGAGACAGAGGCTCACTCTGTTGCCCAAACTAGAGTGTCATGTCCTCAGTCAAACTCAGAGCAACTTCAAACTCTTAAGCTCAAGCAATCCTCCTGCCTCAGCCTCCCAAGCAGCTGGGACTATAGACATCCACCACCAGGCCCAGCTACTTCTTGTACTTTTAATAAACATGGGATTTTGCTTTGCTTGGGCTGGTCTCAAACTCCTAAGCTCAAACCTGTCTTGGCCACCCAGAGTGCTAGGATTATAGGCATTAGCCACCATGCCCAGCCTACTCTTCTGTTTTAAAGCACTTCCATAGTTTCCCAAATAAACTCCAAATGCTCCACCCATAAAACCCAACACAAATTTGCTACTTGTCCCTGTCCCCACTAAATAGTACCCCTCCCTGGCCTGAATCCATTCACATACTGGCATTCTTTCTGTTCTTTGAACACATAAGGCTCTCTCCCAGCTCTGGGTCTTCCTTTTTTTTCCAGACAGGCCCTGGGTAGAGTACAGTGGTGTCATCATAGCCCACTACAATCTCAAACTCCTGGGTTCAAGCAATCCTCCTGCCTCAGCCTCCCAAGTAACTAGGTTTACAAGCATATACCACCACAGCCGGCTAATTTTTTCTACTTTTGATAGAGACTGGGTCTCACTTTTGCCCAGGCTGGTCTGGAACTCCTGACCTTAAGTGATCCTTCCACCTTGGCTTCTCAGAGAGGAATGCAGGCATGAGCCACCAGTTCTGGGTCTTTGTAGTATTATTGCCTCTTTCTGGAAGGCTCTTTCCACGGGTCTTCGCATGACTGATCCCCTGTCATCCTTTGGGTCCTAGTCTCCTTTTCAGAGAGCCCTTCCCTGACCATTTTATCCCAAGTGGTATTCTGTAGCTAGTCTCTCCCCATTCTGTTAATTTTCTTCAGATCATTTATTGTAATCTGCAATGATCTTGATTATTTACCAGTTTACATGTTATCTGTCTCCCATACAAGAGAAGCAAACCAGCATTTCCTGTCTTGTTCACCACTTTATCCTAGCACAGTGGTTGATACCTATTAGTAATCATGTGATAAATAAGTGTAAATAAATAAAATACTGCCATGAAAAATCCACTACTTTCTAACAAAAAGCATATATTCCTGGGCGCCAGCCCCATATATTGCAGGTTCAAACCTGGCTCCGGCCAAAAACTGTAAAAAGCAAACAAACAAACAAACAAAACAAAAAACATATATTCCTGACTTTAGAAAGGGTAAACATCTCTTTAAATGACTTCAGAATTCAAGGCAGAAAATACTACACATGGAAATTCATGGTGATGAAAAGTCCTGTCTGTTAGTAGAAAACGTGTACTATACTTTTTCCAACTCCATCTATGACTTAAACATGCCAAGTCTAATGAAGGAGCAGAGTAGCCTCTACCCTTACCATTTCTGCATATTCTACCTGCTCCTCCTCACTGTAAAGCTCTGGGGGCAGGTTATAGATCCGCAGGATGTTATCAGCACTATTAGTCAAGATGCAGGAACCATCGGGGGCCCTAGAAATAGGACAGAGTTAGAAAGCTGTACAGCCCCATGCTTTCCAAGTGTAGGGTTAGGGGCTGAACCTAACTCTCAGGAAGGTAAACTCTTTTAGGACAGTGGAAGACACAAACCCCAAGATAAAATATAAGCTTAGTCTAAGAGAGGTTCTTCTCCTCCTCCCACCTCTGGCGGACCCTTCTCCTAGATAACTGGGGCATTTTAAGAGAAAATCCTAGATAAGATCATCTCCCTGCCCCATTATCCTTACTTACCACTTACAGCCTTTCAAGAAGTTCTCAGGTTGGGTGCTGAACTCTGACCAGGAACCACTGAGAAATCGAGGTAACTGGGAGAAACTGTAGTTCCAAGTGCTGGAAGAAGATGAGGGGGAGGACAACAAACATGGGTCGCCAAAGCAGAAAGGAAATGCGCCTGGAGAAGGGGGGCTGAAGACTGGTGGATTAGGTCTGCCTCACACTTCCCATCTCCTCACATTCCATAGTCAGCTGCTATCACCACTTACGTGTATCTCTCATCCTCTGGAAAGGCTTCCTCAGACACACCCTCCATTGCTTCTCCAGACCCCAAGTCTGGCCGGTTTGTTTCTTCTGCAGGAAGGCTTACATTTTCAGAAAGTTTTTGCTTCTCGATTCGAGGACTCGACTCACTAAGAATACCAGACTCTGTTTCTAGAGGAGTGGAGAGAGAAGCTGGGTCCCTTTCCCCCAGCTGCTGGGACACAGCTGAGCCAGCCACAGAAACCGGAGACCTATGGGGCAGACTATCCCCATCGGGTGGCGGTGGCATCACTTCAAGGTCGGTATTTTTATCCATCAGGGAGACCTGGGGAGAGAGATGGGCTGGTGCTGGTGCTTTGTCTGAAGGAAGGGAGTCCGGAGCTAAGAGCTGCTCCTCCAACATCTTCATACTTCAGAGGAAGGGCGGCAGACATTGGCCTCCGCCGAGTAAACCTCTTTCCGCTGGCTGGTCGGCCCAGCGGCCGAGACGGATTCGAAGTCCTCAGGGATCCGAAGCTGCACTAGAGAAACCCACCAGTAGCTTCCTTCCTCTTCCTGGTAGCCCCAAGAGCGGGTAGAAAGCCCCAAAGACAGCAGACGAACGAGGGAAGAGAGCAACTAACTTTGGAAGCACAGCGTCCCTTAGTACCGTGGGTCTCAACGAGTCACTTGCTCTCGCGAGGTTTGGGACCACCTTCCGATTGGACCTCCACATCCCGGATCAGATTTCGCGGGCCACCCACGGAAGGGGCAGAGTGGAGACGTCTCAGGTTAGGTTTTGATTCCCATCTGTCCCTAAGGTTCCTCCTGGCCGCTGGGAGTTGTAGTCTGAATGCTCCGGCCTGGCCTAAAAGTGCAAGAAGTACCATCTCTCGCAGTAAATCTTAAAGCACCTGTTCCCACTGCCATTAGAGGACGCTAGCACTGTATTTTAGATTTTGCATCTCATTCGCCACCTTGCCAGAAATGTCTCCATTCATTCAATAAACATTTTTTTTTCTGAGACAGAGCCTCAAGCTATCCTCCTGGGTAGAGTGCTGTGGCACCACAGCTCTCAGCAACCTCCAAGTCCCGGGCTCAAGCGAGTCTCCTGCCTCAGGCTCCCAAGTAGCTGGGACCACAGGCGCCCACCACAACGCCCGGCTATTTTTTGGTTGCAGCCGTCATTGTTGTTTTGGCGGGCCGGGCTGGATTCGAGCCGACCACCTTAGGTGTATGTGGCTGGCGCCTTAGCCACTTGAGCCACAGGCACCGAGCCTCAATAAACATTTATTATCGAGCTCTTATTTACTACCCAGCACTGTACTAGGCACGGGGGAATCCAACAATAAATAAGATAGTAGACAAGTTCTCTATCCTCATAAAGCTTACGTTGCTTCGTGCATACTGAAAGCAATGAACAAATCTTGTCAGATAATAAGGACTGTGAAGGAAATTAAACAAGATAGTGGGATATAAACTACTTGGGGAAAGACGTTAGATTGGGATATTCAATAAAGTCTTCCCACAAGGTGACGTTTTGGCCAACGAGAAGAAACTATCCAGCCAAGAGAGCAAATGTAAATCTTTTTTCCTTCCTCCCACCCTTCATATTTAGCAGTGGCAGGAATCCTCCAAAATGTTTCCAGCAATTCTGCCCTCACAACGCTGGCTTACAGAATTTCCCACCCCAAAATGTTAATAGCAACAGCACCAATACGGCGAGATCCTGACTTTCCGCACCCTTTTCTGCAATTCTCCATTTCCTTTGCCACCTCCGAGCAGGCGAATTACTTGCCCTTACTTGTTATGGCTGTCCAGCTTTGTGCCAGCCTCGCAGGGGTTGCTGGGATTGGGATTTTCCCCTCCCATGTGCTCAGACTGGCGCTAAAAGTTTTGAGCTCCTCAAAAGTCCAGAGCCACCATCCTGGGCGCACTTAGCTGCAGGGCTCCGGGGGCACCTGGCGTCCGGGCTCGGAGCGTTGTTCCTAGGACAGTGACACGCTCCCCTGAGGATTGGGTAAGCTCCAGGCTTAGTCTTATGAGTCCTCTCTGAGTCACCGAGTCTCGGCTCCCTGTATTTTCGGCTCGGGAGAATCGCTGGGGGTGGGGCAGTGGGGGCTTAGCGAATTGGGGTAAGATAGGATGGAAACTTGACTAGGGGGATCAACACAGGAATGTAATGTTGAAAGGCCTGGGTGTAGATGATGGGGATATTGGGACCAGCTGAATACCTATGCAGGGGAGTGGACTTTGGAGAACCTTGAGCCGGCCTAAAGGGTATTTCTCTCCCCCCGCCCCAAACCCTCCCAGGGCTCAGTTTGGGGAATTCCTGAAGATAAAACGCATAAAGCATGGGTGTCTGAGACTTTTGAATCTCGAGACTTTGGGAACTTATGACTCGAAACTTTATAGCCCATGGAATCCTAGTGAAACCCGAAGTTCCATTCCGAAATGATTATTTGGGGCGATCTGGGAAACCTAAGCTAAGGTCCCACAACTTCCGGACCTTTGTCCTTGCTGGAGTGAATTTCCCAGCCAGACCCCGGCTCCGCTAGATGGAAAAAATCCAATTAAAGACTGTCAGCCGTGGAAGTGAGAAGTGCTAAACGAAGGGTTAGCTCGCCAGGCCGAGGAGAATAGTCCGGATTTCTGAGGCCCAGCAGCCCCCTCATTGTTTGGCTCCACATTTACATTTCTGCCTCTAGTGGTAACATTTCCGGTTTCTTTTTGTGGGAGTAGCTTACTACTCACCCGAGAAGAGGGGAGTAGAAGGAGAAAAATCTTTTAGGCTGGTTCCTGTTATTTGCAGAGGACGGCTGCTATTCTCCCTTCTTTTTTTTTTTATTTTTTTTTATTTCTAATGGATTACTTGGTTATTGCCTTTGCAAAGGAAAGGGTATTTGTTTTGATGCAAACCTCCATGTCTCCCCCTCTTTGAATGGTGTGCTCCACCTTCTCCCGGAGCGCCTGCATTCTAGGTGGACGCTACCATTACGTGAGACAGGGTAAAAAAACAGTATACGGTAGACAATCCCTGGGTATTTTCAAGAATGGGTACATTTGAAAATCGCATTTTGAAAAAATGCAGTGAGGAGCTGTTTGATAAATTGTCAGATTGTCAGAAAGACAAATTATATATTACCGGGCTTTGGGCCTTTCCAATTCCGGACGCAGAGTGAACGTCTTGAAAGAGGAAGGGGCGGGCCTTGCAGAGCGTGGGCCCCGAGGCCTTAAGTGCACCTCTCTTGGCGGCATAACCCCCAAGCAGAGTCTGGCGTGTTTAGTTCTTGTTTCTTTATTTCTCAGGGTGCACGTATTTTATTCAGCACCTTGTTACCACGCACTCGCCACAGGCAGGTATATCAGATACTATACCTGTTTTCTGAATTGAGGTAGAAGTTACAGTGCAATTGGACAAATAGTAAAGGCACAGGTAGATGAGCCTTGGCAACTAACCGCCGTGTAATGCCTAGCTAAATACAGAACATTTTCGTCATTCCTGAAACGTTTCCTCGCACCTATTCCGAGTCCGTCCATGATCTCCACCTTCGTTTTTATTTCCGTAACCATTTTGTATGTTGGAGAGATTCATAGGAAATGGAACCATACAGTATGTGTTCATTTTTGTCGGGTTGCTGTCATTCAGCATAACGTCTGAAACTCATCCACGTTGTTCCAAGTATCCGTATTCTGCTTCTTTATTTAGTATATTCCATAGATTGTGTGTCCATTCTCTTTTTGATGGTCTTTTGAGTTGTTTCCTGTTTGGGGTTATTATGAAATAAAGCTGCTATAAACATTTTTGTACAATTCTTTTTCTAATTTTTTTTTCATATTTCTTGGATAAATGCTTAGTGGAATTGCTAGAGTAGGTGGGCACTATGCGCAAGCCTCTGATCCAAGCAATTTGGGAAGCTCAGGCAGGAGGATGCTTGAGCCCAGGAGTTCAAGGCTGCAGAGAGCTATGACAGGGTCGCTGCATTCCGGACTAGGGGATAGAGAAGACTCCCATCTCTAAAAACAACCAGGGTGGCGCCTGTGGCTCAGTGGGTCAGGCGCTGGCCCCATAAACGGAGGGTAGCGGGTTTGAACCCGGCTCCCGCCTGCTAAAAAACAGCGGTGACAACTGCAACAACAGCAAAATAATAATAATAATAATTAATTAATTAAAAAATAAAAACGACCCCAAAGTAAAGAATAGATATGCAGAGGATGCCAAAAAAAAAAGTATGCACATTTTAAGAAAAGAAAAAATTATATTAAAATTGTAATACTC